TTATTAAAAAATTGGCTTTTTACGGAGTAGTAGAAAAATCATTAAATCTGTTAAGCTCATATTTAGTGAACCGTTTCCAGCTGGTGCAGGTAAATAATTCAAGATCTAATATGTTAAAAATCAAAATTGGCATACCTCAAGGATCAGTCCTTGGGCCTCTACTTTTTATTGTTTTTATTAATGATTTGCCTTGTTTTGTTCCCTGTAAAACCACTCTTTATGCTGATGATACTACATTCCTCACAAGTGGTCAAAATCTGAACAAAGCACTTGAAGAACGGGATGGGGTGTTAAAGTTGGCTGAAGAGTGGTTTCGGGGAAATGAATTGATTAACAACTCAAAAACAGAAGAAATTCATTTTAACCTTAGAATAAATTCTAATGACAATAAATCAGTAAAATTGCTAGGAATCCATATTGATCAGAAGCTGAATTGGATTGAGCATACAAACTTTTTATGTAGTAAATTGGCTAGAACTGTATTTTTATTTAACAAATTAAAGAACAATGTAAGTGAACAAATTATTCTAAATTGTTACTACGCATTTTTCCATTCTCACCTACAATATGGTGTTCTCTTATGGAGTAACTCTGTAGGAGCCAAAACCGTTTTCAAATGGCAAAGGAAAGCAGTCAGGTGCATTAGAGGAACAATGCCCAGGGAAGATTGCAAAGCAGATTTTAAGGCCCTAAATATCCTAACCCTTCCATCTTTATACATTTTAAATTGCTTATTATACGTAAAAGAGAATATAGACCAGTATAGCATCCGATCTGACATACATAAACATTACACAAGAAATAGCCATCATCTCAACTTACCACTTACAAGACTTACACTTACACACAATAGCTACAAATATCTTAGTATACAATTTTTTAATAAATTGCCCCCTTCTGCAGTAACGATTCCAATAAAAAAATTCAAAACAGTCCTTGATTCATGGTTAAAATTAAAATGTTTTTACTCTGTAGATAAGTTCTTGTCCTTGGAGGTTTTAGATATAAGTTTTTAAATAATTTATTTAAGATCAAGCTTCCTGTTATTTATTATGACTATGTTTAATGCTTTAATGATAAGATGCCATTTGACAATGTCAATTGCTTTTGTAGAGCTGAAAGACAATAAAAAGATTTGATTTGATTTGATTTGACATACTAGGCCAAATAATAATAATCGGCAACCTAGACATCGCTTGCCGCTTGCATCATCCATTTCACTGACAGCGACAGCTGACACTGGGTGATAGTGATAGGTAGTGGTGTGCAGCGAGTGCGATGCATTGAAATTTCAATTCGATGCATCGAATCCCGATTCGATGCAGCATGCATCGATTAGGTCACAATGCAGTTCTATAAAGGGATGTGTCGATTATCGTCATCGATACCACCGATACTTGGACATTGGTATCGGTACCAAGACTCGATTGTCAAAAGTCGATTCCGATGATACCGACACCCGACAGGGATAAGTTGACGCGAAATTTGGATTGAGGATTGTGTATTTTTCTGGACCAGTTAAAAGTTTTAAGTGTGGAAGCATGTATATAAATTTAGTTGAGTAAAGTTTAGTAGTTTAGTTTCAAGATTCTTTGGTAATTACTAAATATAAGTTAGGAATGTGATTAGTTCTATGGATTGAATTTAGTTTAAGTTACAAGAAAAAAGAACACTTATTTCATCCAGTTTAGTTTTTCATTCCAAAAGGTATTAGTTTATTTACAATCACAACAAAACATCTGTCTTAATCAGATGTAAACAAAAAACATTTGTTATATACACTCTCATGGCTTAGCCACACTCCCACGGAACATAAAGAGAATTTTTAAGTCTTACTTTTTTGCGCAAGAGTTTCATCTGTAAAAGCTTTACTTTTCTTCTCAGCATTTTTTTCGTTAGTGTTCTTAGAAATGAAGTTTGAGTTTGGCGATTCATGCTTTTCAAAGGGGTGATAACCTTCGTGCTCTCTTAAAAAAAAAGTTACATTACAAGAAAAAAGAGCACTTATTTCATCCAGTTTAGTTTTTCATTCCAAAAGGTATTAGTTTATTTACAATCACAACAAAACATCTGTCTTAATCAGATGTAAACAAAAAACATTTGTCATATACACTCTCATGGCTTAGCCACATAAGTATTTTATTTTAACATTTATTTACTTTATAGCTACAGTATTAGTTTTGTAATCACGGTTAACAATTTTCATAGCCAACTTAGAAACTATCTAGTTCAGAACAGCGACGGTGCCGGTGACATTGTTTAGCTTCAGCTCATTGCACAACACAATCTACATTTCAAGATGTCAGACTCAACTCATGAGACAACCGACGCGCGAATGTCCTGCCAACACGAAATTAATTATACTAAACAATGTCTGTATCAATAAGTCAGACATTTAGATGTATTTTTTTTATTTTTAGTATAAAATAAATAACCTAAACACGTCAAAATGTGCAGTTTCATAACTGCATTATACGCATCATTAGAAAAATTATTTTCAGCCATTAAACTTTAACATCGTCATCGTCGTATGGTTAGGCTTGATTTATATTATATTGCACCAAAAAGTAGGTCCATATTTATCTGTACTATCTACCTGATTAAAGAGTTTAGTGAAGTTTTAAGTGCTGCTATGACATAATGTATTTATTGAAAAATATCATAAGCCTTAGTCCATGTCGATTTTGTAATGTTATAACGAATGGTGAATGTTGACAATAAAAGTATGTAACAACAGTTCTCATTTGGTCAGGAGGCGACAATGGACTACCATGTCAGCCAATCGACTTTCGTGTTTCAATGGAGCAAATGATGATTGCTTAGACATCGTTTTATGTGCTTATTGTGGGTGGGAAGGGTATTGATAATTATTGAGATTCGAGATCCGATATGTAGTACGTGTTCGTTTATACATAATGAGTATTAAAGTATAAAAAACTAGGTTAGTTACAGACAGGTTCAAAACATCGATTGTTCCGATCCATTGTTGACACCCCCGCACGGAGGTTATAGTGACGTCGTGCATAAGGGCCAGGCAGGCCGGTTCACAGTGAATCCATTCTGCCGAACCATACTCTTGGTATCATCGGGAACATAGTCAAACACTTTTGTTACTAAATAAAACTATAGCATGTTTTATAAAAGCACTCTTTTGGTTTGGAGATTGGAGATGGTCCCAAAACATAATCTTTATTGTAGGCTAAAAGTAAAACCTATCTATTGCCATACTTTTCTCCACAGACGTCGACTTATTCTACAATGTCTTTAAAAAATACCAGTTTTCAGTCAAAATACTTCTGTAAAAATTGACAATGTGTTGTTTTAGCACAGTCATTCCTTCACCACGATCGTTTTTACTCACTAGAGAAAAGACTCTCCTTACAAAAAGTGTTTATAGGCCAAGATGTATGTATTTTTTTTTTAAAGTATAACTGCAATTGCTTTTAAAAATAAATACAAAAACTGTCAAATGACTTAGATTAATACTTATAAGCCTATTTATAAATTAGAGGAAACTTTATTAGATCTCATCATAGTCAAATTCAAACATTTACTGTGTTTTAAAATAATTAACACTCAGAAACTTTTGTGTAGCCTAATGGAAATCTGCAAGCGACTGATGCTGACGGTGAGGGAGGGCATGTGAACCAGGCTTTTAGAGCAAACTTTCTCTTTTTCTACCCCATGTCCCGTTAGACGGTGGGCGGGGCTTCACACGAATAAACACTCAGTTCATTCATTCACAGTAGGGAATAGTTTTTGTGGCAGTGACGTATGTCTCTTGTCTGCTCTTAATGGCTTACACGTAGATTTCTTTCGAGAAATTTTAAGTGATAATCTTTATTAAAAATAAGTGAAAACTGTTGACAGTTTCAAGGAAGAAAAGTTAAGAAAAGTGTTAAAAATAAAAAGGTTGTTTGATTAGTTATTCTGTATTTCAAAAATATCCTCATTTATGAATGTGTTTTCAGCTAGACTTGGTGACTTTTTCATAGTTAAACAAATTTTGAAGATATATAATTGTTTTTCATACAACTAGTGAGCAACTGTCATTATATAGGAAGTTCGTTTTTTTACTCTCTTAGGGAAAAAACTTACAGAGTATTTGTAGGCCAAGATGTAAGTAATTTTTTTTTTTTAATTTATAGCTTAATGAGTTAACTAAGACAATTGATGCAATTTCAAATAAATACAAAAACTGACAAATGACAGATAAATACTTATAGGCTATAAGCCTATTTATAAATTAGAGGAAAATTTATTAGATCTCATGCTTTAGTCAAATTCAAACATTTACAGTAGGCCTATTAAATTCAAACATTTACAGTAGGCCTATTTTAAAATAAACACTTAGGCTAGTTCCATATTTTTGCAATTGTTTTTTGCAATTAATAATAAACCTTTAACACCAAAATATAAGTTTGATACACATACATATAAGGTTTTTTTATGGTATAACAGTTTACAATATTATTAGTGGAAGAAACTGTGCAAAAAAGATAGGTATCGGAAGTATCGGTATCGATAGCTATCAAGAGTACTTTGGTGGTATCGGTATTGACAATTTTTGGTATCGGCCCATCTCTAGTAATTGCCAAATGGAGAACTGATTGTAGCAAGGGAAAGTAAATTTAGAACAAGGAAAAATCAGCTGATGGGTTTTTCAGAGATTAGGAAACAACTTTCTTTGTTGTCAGTTTTGTTCAAGGAAAGATTCAGGCCAGGGTTTTTAACTGTAGAATAAAGAGGGATAGCAGCTAGTTTACCTTCAAAAAAGTATAGAACACAAACAGGATAAAAAAACACAATATTTCATCCCTAGGAGTGACTTATAATTTGTGAAATTTAATACCTACCAGTTGTTATTGATAAAAGCTAATTTCTGTACGGAGTGATGACAAATTAATAATTTTGAGTTGGCCAAATCACTAAGCCATAATATCCCCACATAAACGGTTTGTTCAAACAAGCCTATAACATTTGCTTGATGGTGATGGCAGGACAATGTGGATTATGATGCGACGAGAGAAGAGAGATCGCCGACACTTCAAACGAATGAGATTCCCTCCATTTGATGATGAAGAGCCGCCACTGGACTACGCTGACAACGTTTTGGACGTTGAACCACTGGAGGCGATACAGATAGAGCTGGACACTGAGGAAGATGCTGCTGTGTACAAGTGGTTCTACGATCACAAGCCACTGGTGGGCACAAAGTAAGTAGGCCTACTTAGATACATAACCTACTATAAGGACTATGTCCATGGGTAACTTTTTATAAATGGCTCTGATTTCAAACATTTGAATACAAATTCCAGACAGTAAATTGTATACGTTGAATTCAAACTAGGAAGGTAAAATAACAACTTTTCTACTGAAATATTTGTGTTTGAATATGTTTATATTTGACAAGTGAAGAATAAAAGGATGTGTAGAGAGAGATAAGTAATATTTTAATAATAGTAATTGCGTTTTTTTATGTTTTTCTATACTCCTTCTCCCAGTACAAAGTTCTTACACAACGTTTGTTTCAGACATGTGAACGGGTCCACATATCGTCGATGGAACTTGTCTCTACCTCAGCTAGCAACATTGTATCGCTTGGCCAATCAGCTGCTAACTGATCTAGTTGACAGCAACTACTTTTATCTGTTTGATCATAAGTCATTCTTCACAGCTAAGGCCCTGAACATGGCCATTCCTGGCGGACCAAAGTTTGAGCCACTCATCAAGGATTCAAATCCTGCGTGAGTAAAATACTTAAGTTACATTAGGTACCGATCTCAACAACTGTAGCTTAATGTTATAAGAGTGCATTTGTGGCGACTAAATTTATTACTTATTATTATTTGGTACAAATTCTCTGATGTGCATTGCTCTTATTGAACAGAGTGCAAGACTTCGGCCTCCGGGGTTCCAGGTTTGAATAGCGCCAATACCTATAGATTTTATCTAAGTGATGCCACAAACTTCTAGCCTAGGCTGGAGTAATGCGAAAGTGATCCCGGGTTAGCCTAGCGTCCTAGGATGTGAAAATAGGGACAAAAACAAAAAATCTGATTATGATTATGTACCGTTTTACTTTAAAATGTCTTTTCAAACCAGTACAAATTTTATTATGTTTTTGGATAGTTGTATTGACACAGAAATTTAATATTATGCAGGTTTTGGTTCTTGTAAATAAGTAAAAAGTCTTTTCGTTTTCATTCCCATTTTTTGATTCCTCACTGGTAGTTAAACCCTAAAAACAAAAGATATTTTTAATTGCCTAAAGAGACAAAGTACAGGGTGTTTTTAAAAGAATGCCGGAATTTTAAACAGCCGTTGCTCGGAGACTATTCAAGATAGTTAAACCATTTTATTCATCAAATTGAAGGGAAAAGAACAACATTTTTTCTCATTCGTTTGTACAATTCAGAATGATTTATCAAAATTAAGATTTTCATCAATCTTATATGAGCGTAAAACTGGCAAAGTCTGTGCGATTAGGGTGATCGGCAGGTTTATCTGATGTCTTACTTAACTGAATCCTTTTAGGCACAAAGGCTTATCTTTTACAGTTAACATCATAAAGTTATTAACTTAGGTTTGTTCAACTGAAAACTTCGTCGGACAATCAATTTTTTCGTGCTTCTGATACAGAATTATCGGATTTCTTCGACTATGTCATTGCTTGTTTTTAGCCGGCCAGGTGAATGTCTTTTCAAAACACTACGGTGCCACGAAACTCATTAAACCAGCTTCAAGTTTCTTTATCATCAAGTAGATTTAAGTTTAGTGCCTTCTGTTACGCGCCGTAAACGTCGTACTGGAGACTGGCGTCAAGCGTATGAGTCACAATAGTGGCCTACCACTGCGCACCTGTTTTGAGCATGCCAAGGTAAAAATGTCGTCCCTTGCTACACGGGATACAAAACTTAGTTGTTTAAGCTTCAATTTGACGTATAAAACGTTTAGTTACCTTGACTAGTACCCAAGCAATCATCATTTAAAATCCCGGCATTGTTTTAAAAACACCCTATATATTCTTACATAAAAATAAAAATAATAAAAAGACCACTGCCTGCCTGCATCCTCCGTACTCACGACAATAAATAGAATAAAATTATAAAAATTAAAGCTATGACTTACCCACAAAGGGGAATATGTGCACTAAGCAATTTCACATTATACAAGACTACTACACTGACCAAATGAGACCGTACCACGTGGTCCGACCCCTTTTATAACCTTGGTTGTGACGTAGGCACTCTGATTATCTTTACATAGGATCGAACTATGAACAGCCAATCAGAGAGCTCACAGTGGTTGCAGGCTTACATCCCTGCGAGAGCATTGACCAGGTGGAGGTTAGATTGCTGGATCAGTATATTCTAACTGACCATGCAGGTGTATGGACTACCTTTAGCTTCAGCACTGACCTGAGTATAAAAAATTTTAAAAAATCAGGTGAGAATAAAATTAAAAAATGCCGATTTCTTTCTGAGGGTAAAATTAACTGTCTCAAGCAATTTCTGGTGGATGCTGGGTGGGGAAGAGTATACACCAATGAAGTTAATAGCTCAGTGAATGTATTTTTAAATATTTTCTCTTTGTATTTAAACATTAGTTGTCCTAAGATCTCTGTTAGTCCTAAGAGCAAGGCTAAGGTTATAAACTGGTTTACTCCTGAGTTGAGTAATATGCGTAGACTCCTACTGCTTATGAATGAATCTTGTTACACGAGACGAGATTGCTTTTTGGCCGAGATTTTTATCAAAACGAGAATAAAAAATAAAAAAAAAATAAAAAAATTAAAAACGCCTGCAGAAAGTCAATGCAATACCCGCAATACAGGAGCGTGTTGTAGTTGCGTTTCCTTTTCGAAGGCGTTCTTATTTAATTAATTCTTTTAATGTAAATATTACTTTAATTCTTTTAATGTAAATATTACTTTCATTATTTTAATAATATTACTTTAATAACATTTGAGAAGTTTTGTTAAGTGTAAGCAGTGTGAGGAATGTTTTATGACTATAAAAAAAGTCAAAACAAGTAACTATTTTATAAAAACTAATATTGCTTTTATTTTATGATTTATTTTATTTAAGGATAAGTTGAACTCTATCCTTGAACTGATATCACCATGTTTCCTAATCGTAGGCATTTTTAATAAGTTAGGCGTGATTAATAAAAAAATGTTATGCTGATGTTATTTAATGAAAGATTGTAAATATTCTTGCCTATTATCATTATTTTAGTATTTAAACAGTCATCTAACAATGTTACAAAATCTGTGATGTGAGTAACCTTGACTACTCAGATTATTTGAAGAATCGTGTTAAGGAAACAGATTCTAGTAATAGTAATTTTAATTTTAATTTAAAACTAGTTGACGAACAAACAATATTGTCTGTGGTTAGTAAACTGAGCAATTCTCGTTCAGAAGATGTCTATGGAATGTTAAACTTTTTGTTGAAGAACATTGTTGATGTAATATTGCAGCCTTTGACTTTTATCGCAAATTCAATTCTTGCTACTGGATGTTTTCCTGATTGCTTGAAAGTTACCAAAGTAATACCTGTTTATAAGAAGGGCGATGTAAACCAACCAGAGAACTATAGGCCAGTAGCAATTGTTCCCATATTGAGCAAGATTATTGAAACATGCATTGTAACCCAACTTAACACATTCGCTGCGGCACGTCAAAGGGCGGGCGTATCTCCAGTGCGGCGCAGCCCTCAGCGTCGAACAAACCCGATTGCTGCGTGTGATTGGCTTTCCAATTTTGGTCTGACAAATAGCAAAGAACGTGCGGGGATGTCCTGCTTTGCAACGAGAGTCGACGTAGTTCGCTAAACACCCACAGATAGCAGCACTGCTTGGAACGTAATACATAAAAAAGTCCAAACACGACTAAACACAAGCCCAAACTAACATAAAGGCAAGCGCAAACTTAAAAATCTGCAAAAAATCGGAGCACGCCCGAACTAAGGAGTGGCGGCAAAAACAGATTTCTATTGTATTTACAGACCACGCTCAGCAAGTAGTAACGTTCTCCGTCAAACACTAGACTCATACTGGCTGCTTTTGTTCCGCCAATTCATTCAAAAATTCCGCCGTGAGCGACACTAACTGGAGCGGCGGATCTGCAAGCGGCGGTAATGACGTAATACTACAGTATGTCCCCCAAGGGCTGACAGAGTTTCAATTCCCTAGTTTGAAAACGGGGACAACTGTAACACCATTTGCTTAACCTTACACAAGGACGTTTTACAGTACAGTATCAGATTTAGTTTGAACTGCCATAAAAATATTTTTTACCAAAATATAGAAATAACAAAATATTTTATACCAAAGGAAAATATACAGGGTTGCCACCAGCCATGAAAACCTTGAAAAGCGTGAATTATGCGTGAATTTAGGTGACCATGAAAAAGTGCGTGAATTATGCGTGAATTTCGTCATTGGACCATGAATTCTCAAAATCATTATTAACAATTCAGCCAAAACCCCTAAATGTGCTGAATCAAATACTCCGTATTAAAACCATTCTCGAAATGAACACCGAGATAAAACGTCAAAGTGGGAGTGTCGAGATAAAAAGTTTTGTTGCCATGGCACGAACAGAAACGATTGCGTAGTTTATTCAAGGTCAAATCCGATCGCAACCGACGTCAGCCGAGTAGTCTAGAGATGGGAATTATCGTTGTTTTCCGGCAACGGTTATAACGATAACGCAGCTGCCCAATAACGTATTGCGGCAACCTGTTATTTCAATAACGATTGCCAGCTCGTTGCCGCTATAAACCGTTGTCCGCCGGTCGGTGTTGCTGTTGCGGCGTTCAGTTATCATTGTCGGTTGATCAGTTCAGTTTTCAGTTGTAATCGGGACTCGGGAGTCGGGCGTTGCCGCGTTGTCCAGACAGGATGCGTTATTCTAGTTCGTTTCAGAAGTTATCGTTGCTCTGGTCTGGTAGCGTTGCGGCAACGGCACTAATGGCAATGCATGTTTTCGTTTTCGTTGTCGCGCGGCTTTCCTGCAACATTGTGTAGATAGATACGTTATTATAATAACAGGGAGTTCTCTGCAACGTGTTGCCGCGATAACGTTGCCGTGGCCGCAACACTGTTATTCATCCTGTTATTCCTGTTATGTTATAACGCCCATCTCTACCACCGAGTTATTGTCTGTGCGAGTACCGATCTACCGATAAAATCGATGCTTTCGGAGCTAAAACATCGATCACATCGATGTTTGTTCCGAGTTTCTCGTCTGTTGTCTGTTCTCTGCACTGTAACAGCCAATTAACCTAAAACCAATACAATTCAGTTACGGAAAACATCAATATTTCATATTTCATTACTTTTGTTGGCCTAAAAGACCGATGTAACAAACCAAATCATCGGTTCGGTAATCTACCATCGATGTAAACAAATAACTTCGAACATCGATAGAAAAGACATCGATGTTTCGAAAACATCGACAATCGGAATTGATGCTCGCTCTCATTCTCTACTCTCTACTCTAGTGTCTAGTGTTCGTGTGGAAGGAAATACAGAGTAACCATAACCTAAAAGTTTTAAACTGATCTGAAACTTAGAAACGAGTCAAACGTTTGAAGTTTGAAGTAGTGGTGGACACTGGACAGTAAGATCACTTGTTGCACTCGTGATTCAGTTTTGTGCTTCTTATAATTGATTACCCAACACTCAGTGGAACAAGTGTTCAGATTAAATATTTTTTATTACTGATATATTATACTTC